GTATTGTGTATATGTACTGTATCCTAGTATTGTGAATATGTACTGAATCCTAGTATTGTGTATATGTACTGTATCGTAGTATTGTGTATATGTACTGTAACCTAGTATTGTGTGTTTGTACTGTATCCAAGTACTGTGTAGATATACCTTACAATTCTGGTTTTATGTACTTGTATGTTTATTTACTTGCATGTTTATTTACTTGCATGTTTATTTAATTTTATGTTTATTAAACTTGTATGTTTACAACGTTTTCATTGAAAAACAAATGAATTTCTATACACTTCACGAAAAGTCGAATCTGAAATAATAAAGAAGAAAAACAAATTAAGATCTTTTATCATTTATAAATTTTGTGAAATATTGTTCATTTTCTTTATAAATAAAAAAAATTGCCTTGCTGGTTTAACAATTTGGAATGCATGTCGTCTTTGTTCTCCCTAAATGTCGCTTAGGATTATGTACAGGGGGCTGGATGAGCGGGGGAAGGCAGGCGGTCATGAGCCACCACTATTTCCCCTTCCGTGCCACAATATTAGCTTTTTTCTCTCCCGGCAGCCATGAGCCACCACTATTTCCGCTTCCGAATCACCACATTTGACTCTTCCGGGCAAAACTATTTTTTTAAATGGTATATTTAGGGCCTTTAAAGTGTGATTTTAAAAAATATAGCCGCGTCACGCAAAAAAGCACAACTCAAACCATTTTTTCAATTCTACTTAAGATTAATATTTACTGTGTTGAATTCTTAAACTGTTTTACAATGAATTTTTTGACAAATTTGACTGAGTATTGCATCGTGAAATATTACAAAGTCTAATGATTATTGGTTAATGAGTGATTTTAAGATGGATTTAGTATAATGAGTCAGTCCAGAAAAATCACGATTAAATTAAGGGACTTTCAAAGAGAAAATTATCTCGTGCCTTCGTTATAAAACAGAGCTTTAACCGTACCTGTGAACATCCCTCTCTATTTTTGTTTAAATGAAAATAAATATTTTCCAGAGATAAGAGAGTTAAAGAAATTGATTATCAGCTAAAATATGCGATATTTTCCACAGCATGTTCTATTGTCATAGAGAATAGAATATATAGAGAGGAATTAAAAGAATCTCTCGGTATGAATTTTTTCAGTCCCTTTCAGCCTGAAAGGGAGTTCAAAGTGTGCAAATCATGTAAATGTTCACAAATTATATGCAGTAGAGTACATTAATACAGTATGTTCCCTAGACTATCCATTTCAATTTCAAATTTTTTAAACTGTTAAATAAACTTTATAATGAATTAGGTGAATAAAAACGTCATTTGATTTATAGTTATAACGGAAAATCATCGTTTGTAAAGAGGAAGGCATAGAGTCTATGTGAAATGATCATTGGTCAATTATGAAACCTGCCTATTTCATAATTTGGTTTTCTTTTAACAATAATTTTAGATTTTCTATAAAATGATATTCCAGGGCCCAACAGGTTATATAGCATAAATATGTGAAGTACACCTGCAGTATGGACACAGTACAACAAAATGGCCGTTTTACACTTTTTTCTAGTAAATTCCTCTATATATTCTATTCTCTATGTCTATTGTGTACAAGTACTGTACACGACTAATCAGCAAACATCTGTATTCAGGGAAATTTAAAGATTCTTTGGATACGACACACAAAATCTTCAAAAAAGACTGAATTCATAAATTTTATGTTTCATGTATAAAATTAGAGTATTTCTTTAAAAGTTGACAAAATTAACATCTAAATGGGTATTATGTTCAACAAGAGGTCGTGAGATGGCACTCTAAAAACCTATCGTAAAAACGTAGCATGTCGTGCCGGGTCAACTTTGGCCTACATGGTCCACCCTGTGAAAGGAGATAATCAGTATGTGTAGTCTGTGGTCGAAAGTGGAGTAAATGGCCTGTACAATTATTAAAGGATTAGCGTACATCATTACTCTGTATACTATAACCTCGTTGATGTAATTTGCAAATTTTGCAACAGCTATATCTATAAAAATGCCCAGAAAACGTTCTAGAAATGGTTTAGTTGCAAATTAAAAAATCGTGAATGTTTATTGTATAATAATTAAAAAATCGTTCTCTAGGAAATTACCCAATTTAATTCGTTTTAAACTTATTTTTTTAACAATTAATTTTGTTTTATTTCAGGATCTCTCTTCAACTTAGAGTGCAATAGAGAAATCGATTGGCTAGAGCAAATTGTTACTTATTATTTTTACAACTGAGACAAAGTTCCTAACCTGTGAATTTAAGATACAATTTTTGATAATTATGTATTCCTAATTTTTTCAATTTTTCTGAAGCGGGGGGGGGAGCATCCCAGGCCCCCCCCTAGAAAAGGCCTTAAATAATAGGTATAGGGTTAAAATGCATATTCATAGACCAATTTTTGAATGCCAACTCATTGAAAAAAAAATAGAGCGATAACTGTAATATGGATAGGGAAGGTTAAAAAAAAGGCTAAACAAAGGTAACATTTTTTTATCAGACATCTAATTGTAACACATGTTTCTACATCCATTTTTTCAAGGGCTTTTCAAAATTATAATTTTTAGATCTGCAGCTTTAGTCACAAAACATTTATGGGCCATAGAAAACAGAAAACAGAGTTTAGTTTAAAAAATAGAGTATTTTGGAGAGAAAAGTTTCCATTACTTGCCAAATATTAAAGATTAAAATATTATTTAGTTAATGATACTACTAAAGTTGTTTTGTACAATGAAGAATTAAATAAATGGTTTGATAGAAATATTGAATATTCAAATTTATATTTATTTATATATATATATATTTAACTACAAAATATTTCTGATATTTTAGATACAAACCCCTGGTTACCGTTTTATATTTTTTACAAGATCTGCTTAGATGGTGAAAGGTAAGAAAATGTAATTTTGTAATTTCTTTTAATCAAATATGGATATTGGTGGCCAATAAAAGGTTGGCAATGTTTTTGAAACATGATTTAAAATATTTTAAACTATTTCACAATATTTCACAATTCATAGCAATTATTGAAGGTCTATTTTTTCCTAAAAATAATTTAGAAAAAAGATAAATATCTTCAATCAAGATTGTTCAGCAAAAACCAGTTTTCTGAATAGATAAATAGTTTATTTTAACACACTTAGTATAAATCTGAATGAACACTTGCAATTTTAAATATTTTGAGAAAGGTTCCTTTACATAACTTTTAAATTGGTATCTATCCCAGAAGAAATTCCAATTGTTTAACAAAATGTATTGTATTTCCAAATCGATAAAAACATTGAAAGAACCTTTTCTTGGCACTTAAAGGGAGTGTTCGCGAAAAAAATGAAAGGTGATTTAGAAGGTTTCGAATTGAATTTTAATTGAATTATTTACGATCTTAGTGGAATAATACAACTTTTTGAATTTATACGGACGCTACGCTCAATTGGGTTTAAGACGTTTTTAACGATTTTCTCCTTATATACGCAACAGAATCTAGTGAATCTAGTAGAGTTCGCTATCGAATTCAATTTGATAGCGATCTTTTCTAGAAACATCAAAGGTCTGCGACATCAGGCTGTGATAATACAGATTAGCGTTACAGGCAGATAGAGATTAGCGTTAGAGGCAAGTTATCAAGTTGTTCATTTATAATTTATATCTCTCCCCAAAAACTCCCGTCCGCTTGGATTTTCATAAGTCTGAATGTAGCTCAACACTCGCCTCAATTTCAAAATTTCAGTTCTCCATAATTTTTAAATCTGGCGGTTTAAACATTTGATATTTGAAACCTTGACTATTTTATACAGCAGATTATACAGAGCGAACATTAAATATAATAGGTGACGACATCAAGACTTGATCATTAGAGTAGGCGATGAGTAATTAGTTCCTTTTAGAGGGACTGTAAGCGTAATTTCAAGTGAACCTACAATGCAAAGATGGCAATGTCCTTTTTACAACAGTACCCTTGAAATCGATATTTGATCAAAAATGTGAAAGATACCAGTTTTCCCTGTTAGTTTCTCTATAGTTTTAAAGAAAAAAAAGTCACTTTCTTAGAGAAACCGCAAATAAGACTAAACAATTTAAAGAAACAAAAACATTGATATCTAATTCATACTTGATCAGACAAAACTTTTAAGTGTATCGTTGTAAATTGGACATTAACATCTTTGCTCAAGGGTCACTTGAAAATGAAATTACTCAGGCTCTTTGTTCGATGAATTTGAGATTACATGATTAAACCAATTTTTCTTTGTAGATGTATACAAAAGAAATAAAAAGAAAGGGTCATTTAAAAATAGTTTAAGTAGACTTTTTTTCACACTATTATGATGATTATTAGATCTATTAAAAATTCTTTGATATGATTCACGAAATCACACAATCTCGAGGTTATTTCAGGTGTTGCTCCTTATATGTAATCTTTAAACCTTTATCTGAGTAACAATGAGTAAGATATTGTCGTTTTATAAGTTTTTCCTTATTGGACTGCTTGATAAATGCTAATGATAATTTTATGGGGATATTGATAGTGAAAATAAAAGATTAATTTAAGGGCAGAAGAAGGATTAAATTTGTTCAGAAGAAGTATTAAATTTGTTCAGAAGAAGGGTTAAATGTTACCGAGATGATACAGCCATTCCACACTTTAATAGAGGTTCCCTTGTAATTACGTGATCAGTCCCTTTAATAGAGGTTCCCTTGTAATTACGTGAACAGTGCCTTTAATAGAGGTTCCCTTGTAATTATGTAATCAGTCCCTTCAATAGAGGTTCCCTTGTAATTACGTGATCAGTCCCTTTAATAGAGGTTCCCTTGTAATTACGTGAACAGCCCCTTTAATAGAGGTTCCCTCGTAATTATGTAATCAGTCCCTTTAATAGAGGTTTCCTTGTAATTACGTGAACAGTCCCTTTAATTGAGGTTCCCTTTTAATTACGTGAACAGTCCCTTTAATAGAGGTTCCCTTGTAATTACGTGAACAGTCTCTTTAATAGAGGTTCCCTTGTAATTACGTGAACAGTCCCTTTAAGTGTCTTGAATTGTTCTAAACATTGATAATGTTTATATTTAAAGGTACATGTATAAATATAAACATGATAAACAAAGTGTAAAGATTGAAGAAGGTTTAGTTAGTTGTCTAGTTCCACTTAGCTCTGCTGTTTTCTCGCCTAAATAAACAAGTTGCAGATATAATTGCTTGAAATATGATACATAGAAATATAGACCTTAGCTAAAGAATGCAGACGGGTACTCCATTTGTATAAGAAATATTCAGAATAGGTCATTGTATACGCGGTAATTGTACATCAGAAAAATATTTCTTATTCAACATGAAGTACCGTCTGCAAAGCATGAATAATCATATAATAGGGCGGACTGCGTCAGTTGTATCTCCCTTCTATTATCACACGTTGAAATTTCAAATTCTATATAATCCCAACTCAAAGATCAATTCCGAACCCTGAAGATATCCGGCCTTGGCGAAACTAACTTTTGAAGTTTTGAACTTCTTAGTTCTTAAAGTAATAATAGACTTTCAATTCCATACTTTACAATATATCATTGTGAACTAGACCAAAGTTGTACAATAACAAAATTTACATTGAACCAAGAGTAACCCTTTCACATTTCATATTTTCCTCAATTGAAAAAATAGATTTCACTTTAAAAATATTTCCTTAAATAAAGGAACGAACTTAGATAAACAAACCAGTTCGATTTAAGAACTCAAAAGGGATTTTTAATATAAATTCAGGTGACCCTTCGGTCTTCATTTAAAAATTGTCTCATTTGTATTCAATTTGAAGAGAAAACAATTTTCTCGAAAGAAATCAATTAAAATGTTCTAATCCCTATATCTTAGCAATCTAATAATTACAAACAATCCATAGTTTGAAATATAAGTGGTATACGACAGCGAGTTAGTAATTAAAAAAGAGATTTTGTGACAAAAACTCAGTTCCTTTGAGGATAAAACGCCTCCCCCCCCCTAATTATTAAGGAATATTTTACTTGAACCCTTTGCCGCTAAGTTTGTCTGAATATAAAAAGATTATAACGTAATCATTATTATATGAATAGCATATACTAACCATTAATAATATGCAGGTTCACGTATGATGTTGGAGCATTGTCTGGAACACAGGAATACGTTCCAGAATCCTTAGATCTTGCTCCAGACATAACTAAACTAAACACAAGAATACAGAATACTTAGATCTTGCTCCAGACATAACTAAACTAAACACAAGAATACAGAATACTTAGATCTTGCTCAAGACATAACTAAACTAAACACAAGAATACAGAATACTTAGAAGGGGAAATAGTGGTGGCTCATGGCCGCCTGCCTTCCCCCGCTCCTAGGACTGCCAATGTTCACAATGTACTCTGCACTCTTGGCTTTTGATTATTTAATTTTTGAGGTTATGGTATTTCTCCGACCAGGGGTATTGGGCTGGTAAGGTAAATGTTGGAAATGTCGAGACTTTCCCCGTTTAGATATGAAGGTTCAGTAATAAAACTGGACAGTATATACTATATTCTAGACTAGAGGTTCCTGAAATATAAACATTAGAATATGAAGTTCAAGCTTTCCGTATCTTTTCAACAACAAAAAGATAGGGGTCCGTATAATTCCTGTTTTGAACTCAAATGGGATCCGGGTTAAAAATACACTTTCTGTTTTATTACTCATTGTGTCATTTTTGTTCTTCTATACCCCCCTTGTGGCCTACTAACTATTTCGATTCATATAATCTTTAAAAAACTGCAAGGGTTACTTTAACATCTAGATAAAAACGAAACTATAACTTTTTATCCTAACTGCAAATACAACCCGTGGGAAATCAAAATACTATTTATCCTGTAATAAAAAGATAAAATAAAAATGTCAACAAAGTAGTGCTCGGGTCATCATTATTAGTTATTTTTATCTTACATGGATTAAAGGGATTGTCTGCATTATCTTCCTTGAACTTGTGTTTTATGTGAGAAATGTGTCTCATAACCCATATCCTGTAAATTTTAACTTTAAAGCCAGATATACATTTAGACCTAATTTCGAATGGCAAGAAAATATAAATGATATAAATAAAAAATAACAAAAAAATAAAAATATATTTTATTGATGCTCAATGCTGCACTGATGCATCTATAAATGGATTCTAAAAAAGTTGTTTCAATATAAATCTTATCAATCCATTCAAATATTTAATTCAAAAATTTTGGGAAAATGCATTCAGCTGTAAGTGCTCATGAAGGTTGAATAAATGCAAAAATCGTTCAAAAAAGTATTTGTTGGTGTTTACACAATAGAAACAGCTACCCGTAATGAGCCAAGGTGAGATGAATTAGGTTTCTTCAATTTGAATTCAATCGCGTTTTGGTCTAACTGTATAAGAAAACAATCTTGAAACTTACCAAGTTGTCTTCAAAAATCCGTTTTATTTAAAATAAATCTGTTTGGCCAAAAATTTACAACAGAAAAAAGAAAACAAACTTTTTTTTTAATCCCTATATATCTGGACCCAGATGTCGTTTAAATCCTTTATTTCTGTTAGATACAAAAGCATAAGCTTAACATATTAAATGTGACACCATCAGGTTACTAAGTTAGTTATGGAATACAAATATTTGAGTTTTTGGCAAAAACTCACTTTCTTTTGACGCCCCATAGGTCAAACTGTGATCAAAAGTCACCAAACTGTTAGATCAGAGTGCTTATAAAAGACAAGATCCACAATCATTGGATTTTTGTTGAAGCATATGTTTTAAACATATTTACCAAACCAAGGACTTTGCTGTTTTAAACATATTTACCAAACCGAGGACTCTGCTGTTTTAAACATATTTACCAAACCGAGGACTCTGCGGTAAAATTTGAGGATCTTCAGGTTTCGGCAAATCAATTAGTTTTTAGCACACAATAAAAAAAGGAAATATGTTGTTGAATTTGGGTGGAAATAACTTTATATGTGAAATCGTCCTTCACATTCTAATAGAACTAAACCATGGATTAGTATTTTAGTAAAAAAAGTTATTTTTATAAATAAATAGAGATAACGTTATGTAATCCGCCAATTTCTTTGATCCTCCGATCCTATAATACAGGGTTACCCGCAAAAGATGAAACTTAAATGACGACATAAAGTTCTTTAGATATGTCATGTTTGGACTCTTGATTAAAAACATTTTACTAAATGATTCGGAATTAAATAGAGACATTATGAAATGCGGGGAACCTTGAATTTAATAAAAGGTCTGAAAACATTCCGTACAGTCGTCTCTGAAGTCTCATCCTTTGTGGTTAACACTGTACACAATAATGGATATACATTAACTATTTATTGGTTTTTGTTTTTATCAGTTTTAATGCACAGACTTCATGTGTTCAATCAAAAATGAAAAATAAAAAGGGAAAATGTTGACTGATCTGCAACTGCTAACTTTGATGATCAATTTCCAGGTTGGAAATCGCAAGTTTTGAACGGACAGATTGTACCCTTCAACTATAGCGCGTCAAGGAGGGGAATTNCCCCCCCCGCCCAACCCATACAGATAAAAACAGAAAGTAACAGGATCAATTTTCTATAAAAAATGTTCGTTTGAAGATTCGTATTTTAAGATTCATTTAAACTAAATCATTAACAAAAAGGTGCTCCTCAACAAATACTTAAATTTCGCCCTTTTCTATAATCTATGACAATTTTTGATAATCTGCTATAAATTTTTATACGTCAAACCCCCCCCCCTTCCCCCCTTTACAGAAAACAATCGTGTTTTTAACGCCTTTTCCCATTATATCAAGAAAAAAATTTCAAATATTTCATTTTTAGGGCGGCCGACAAATCGACCCTATATTCCCTCTGTATTTCTCTATCCGGTGAAAATGTTAGTTAGCAAAACGGAAAGTTGAGTTAAGAAAACTTTGCAAAGATTTTATCAGTGAGTAGAGAATCCTGGCTGCAAATATATATATATATATATTGCCAGCCTGACACACTAATTAAAAGTATAATTAAAAAAAGTTTTTGAGAGGGTTTTTGAAAGGATACAATATTCCATGCGAAAGTTAAAAAGAAAATATATGGGTCTCTAGTTTTAGAATAATTCATATTTTATTTAAAACTGGGTCTCTATGGTGTATACATAGAACAAAAATAGTAAAAGAAATAAATATGTCTGGGTAATTTTTTCTTCTACAACTTACAATTGGATGTTGTATTCCTTATATTATTCTAAAACTATACACTAGGTTTTGTTAAAATTAGTTTGTATAATTATTGTGCCAAAAAAAGACAGTTATCAGTTTCACCCCTTTCAACTTATTTCTAAAAATGCAGCAAAACATTTCAGTTAAAAAAGCAAAGGATTTTTAAGAGAGCAAGATAAAAATATGCATTATCGATTTTAAAGGAATTGAGTTTTTGCCACAAACTCAGATTTTCCCATTCGTATTTCTTTGCAACCCGATGTTGTAGACGTTTGATATTTCAAACTGAAAATTCTGTTAGATCAAACACTCAAAGTTTGAAATATCAAAGAGTTACGTCATCAGGTTGAATAAATATAGGGATTAGAAAATTTGACTTTTGTGGCTAAAATTACAATTTCCTATAAATTCAAGAAATCTCAACTATAAAACAGACCAATGGACATTTTTTCTCATTGAAAAATATTATTCGATGGATAAAATTTTTCTACAGAATCATTTATAAAAAGGGTTAGATCAAATCATTTATCTTTTCACCGATCAAAATAAAGTTTGCACCTATCCTTTCCCTATCCGTTTTATGGTTAAAGGTTAAAGTTGGGTTAATATGGGGGGGGGGGGGGGGTCAAGACTTCGAGACCTATTAGGACAGAATCCAATTCCTACAGAAGTAGGGTGGAAATTTAATTATTCATAAGGACATAAAAATAAATATTTTTATTTAGATACTCAATTAAACCCTACAATCATATTGCTACAAACATCTTATTTTACAAAAACTAAAAAAATCTCTATTAAATCCCAATGAACATCAGTCTACATTTACCTAGCACCTTGATAATAAATATTATCAAGATGCTCGTAAATATAATAAATGTACAATAATAGTTCCTTTAAACAAGAAAATATTTTAGTTTAAGAAAGTTCTGGATCCAATATAAAGTAGAACAAGACTTGAAATGTTTAATAAAAGGATTAAATGGTTTCAAATTAATTTGATTTATCTTGGAAACATTTAGAGCTTTCATTTTCAGGAACCCTTCAAATTCCAAAATATTATTAACTATAAGACTGTTAGGGCGCTTTGCGCCCATCCTCTCTTTTACATTTGTTAACTTGTTCTCTTTCTATACATAAAAACAAAACAAAAATTTGCGGATTTTTAAAAATTATGTTGTGGATTTTCAAAATTTTCCAAAATCAAATTTTGTTACAGGCAAATTTTAAAAATTCGATCATCTATAAACCTTCACTGGGGTCACGCGAGGTCTTTGGGCTGGAGGGGTTCAGCCGTTTTGACGTTCATTGGATACAAACAAACAGACAGAGAAGCAAAGTACAGGGGACATTAGTTCCAAAAATAAAACTTGAACCCAAAATTGAAAAGAGTATCGCTGAACGAAACTCCCGAGTTTCCTTTTTGATTTAAGAGATTTTAAAAAATGGAGAATATGAAAATATAAAATAAATAACTATTTCATAACAAAAAATATTGATATCCAAAAAACTACCTAACTCCATTCGTGAAACCCGGGTTACAAAATTGGTTTTCATAACGATACCCTGTCTTAAGTTTTGAGCTCAGGCCCATTTCTAACACTCATCTGAACAAATTGAAAGACTGGGGTTTTAGGATCCCGGCCAATATCGAGAGTAATACAGAAATATTAAAACCAATCATTAATATTTAATAATTAAAAAAAAACAATTCTGAAAACGTATCTACCCCAAAAGAAGGAGTTTTGAACGTCGAATTTGCGCTCAAACTCAGGATTTACAGATCTTTAAAAAGTTTTATATGTCTCAAATGAATCCGAAAGAAGTTTTCAACACTGCATACTCAATTCAACTACCTTACATAGCCGGTCACTCCCTTTAAATTAAAGATCAACGATCTCATACTGTGGACTGTGGCACTGTCTGTCCTGTATTGTTAAGACTCTAGGTGTACCTGACAACTGTTTTAATAGATTTATCAGTGACGAGAGAAACCCCAGTCCTAGGTCCCAGGTAGGACACAACCTTTCCATTCTTCAACCAGTCAACCTAATCAATATTTTTAAACATTAGTAAAAAGTTTAAAAAAACACCTGTGAATAAAAATGATAAATTAGATCTGTGAGAGGTGGGAAATCTTGTCTTGTGGATATCAACATCAATGCTTGATCTCTATCTTGTGATGATCTATAGATTAATCTAACTAACAGCCAATCAGAAGCACCATTTTTATGTTTTTTTTTGCATTCAACCAATGAGAGAAAAGAAAAATTGAGAAGATTCTGCATAAAATTCAAAAGTCTCTACAGTGGATATCAAGATAAAGCTTTCTGGATTAATTGTCCCCTACATAAATGTTCCCAGCTCAGGTCCAGTTTCCCTCACTCACTGTAATCTTGTTAGGCTACTTTTGTTGCATAAAACGTGCTGGCTCGACTCTACACTGGGTAGGCTAGACTGGAAGGTACGACTTAATGATTATACAGTACATATGGTAACGGATCGGATCATGTAACTTTTAGTGTACAGGGTGAATCGAATCCCCAGAGTTAAAAGGACTGTTATTGTAATTTCAAGTGACCCTCCATGCACAGATGGCAATGTCCAATTAACAATGAAACCTTTATCTGATTAAACATGTGGGAGATATCGTCGTATTTCTAAGTTTAAAAGTGGATATTTCTTTATATTTTCCCTATTAATAAAATAAACAATAAATCAATCTTGTTTTAAACACAACATTTAGTTTAATTTATGACATACATTGGTAACTTGGCGAAAATTGGTAGCGTGGTGACACAAAATGCAAATACAAATTCATTTATAAAAAGTTGGATAAAAAATATGCATTAATGCTTGAACACCAAATTTCCTGGTGTGTAGCTTGCACATTGATAATTTTTAAAATATTAGGTTAAAAGAGTTGAGAGAGTTGAGAGGGGAATACCGAACATTTTCTTTTTCACTCAACCTTGGTAACATATTGCAATTTAATAAATTCAAAATTTCTTATTAATAGAAAACTCTCATTTTCTGACTTGATAGTGATTCTATTCAATTTTTTGATTGGCAGCAAAAGATTCAACTTAAAAAAATCTTAGTTTAAAAAATCTGAAATGATCAGGAAAAATAATTGTTTCCACTTTACGAAGTTTTAAAAATACTCTTGAAAATCGTTAATGGCATTTTTGAAATTAAATCCTCTGGGACACTTTGCTTCAATATCAGGAAACTTGGATGAATTTTACATGAGCTCTTCTATGAGAATATAGAATTCCTTGAGATCTAAATATCGGATGGTATTCAAAACATGTACCTTTCGGTTTGCAAAACAAAATAAAAAAAGGTTAGTTCTATCTCAAAAGTTGTGGAATTATAGTTTTACTAAACCATAGTTCAAAGTTGGAGCTGTACAACTGTGGAATAAGAAAACAAGTATATTTCATGTTGTTTCAAAGCAAATAATTTTACCTTGAACATGAAAAAAATGTGTCTAATGGCAGGAACCTATGTTCAGCGGCAAAATCGTTGTGTGTTATTTTCGTTGGACTAATATCTTAAATCTTAGCTTAAGTCTAATAGTTAGGTTCCTATTCCAAAGTTTATTAATCCCACTGTTTTCTAAATCCCGGTTATATCTCTATATCTAACCTTATGAGGATGTTTCTCCGTGTTGCTCACGATACACGTCAGGTTGATTGTACTGTCCTGGTCCACAAATATATCAGGAGAACCCAGGATCACGGTTTCAGGTTCTATGTTTACAAATATATCAGGAGAACCCAGGATCAAGGTTTCAGGTTCTATGTTTACAAATATATCAGGAGAACCCAGGATCAAGGTTCCAGGTTCTATGTTTACAAATATATCAGGAGAACCCAGGATCAAGGTTTCAGGTTTATGTTTACAAATATAAGTTCTATTAAGATTCTAATTCTGCTGTAATATATCTATATCAGTTCCTTTAAGATTCTAATTCTGCTGTAATATATCTATATCAGTTCCTTTAAGATTATAATTCTGCTGTAATATATCTATATAAGTTCCTTTAAGATTATAATTCTGCTGTAATATATCTCTATTAGTTCCTTTAAGATTATAATTCTGCTATAATATATCTATATTAGTTCCTTTGAGATTATAATTCTTTATGTAATATATATCTATCAGTTCCTGTAAGATTATAATTCTGCTGTAATATATCTCTATCAGTTCCTTTAAGATTATAATTCTTTATGTAATATATCTTTATCAGTTCCTTTAAGATTATAATTCTGCTGTAATATATCTCTATCAGTTCATTTAAGATTATAATTCTTTATGTAATATTTCTATATAAGTTCCTTTAAGATTACAATTCTGCTGTAATATATCTCTATTAGTTCCTTTAAGATTATAATTTTGCTGTAATATATCTCTATCAGTTCCTTTAAGATTATAATTCTGCTGTATCTCTATTAGTTCCTTTAAGATTATAATTCTGCTGTAATATATCTCTATTAGTTCCTTTAAGATTATAATTCTGATGTAATATATCTCTATCAGTTCCTTTAAGATTATGATTCTGCTGTAATATATCTCAATTAGTTCCTTTAAGATTTTAATTCTGCTGTAATATATCTATATATTTTGAGAATTATAAATTCATAAATGCTTTTAACTGGGTGCATACACTTTCAAGCTTAGTATAGTCTCCATATCAACAGCTGCATAAATGCATTTAAGGTTTATATATGCATTTAAGGTTTATACAGGGACAATAAAGGTTCATAAATGTATTTAAGGTTTATACAGGGACAATAAAGGTTCATAAATGTATTTAAGGTTTATACAGGGACAATAAAGGTTGATAAAGATGAACTGTTAAGAACAAATGTACCTATAACTACATAACAATTCAGAAATGTATTGATGATTCACAAAATATGAGATTATTTGAAAATTTTATTATCAGTACATTGACGGAACTGAAGATGCTAAAAATTGTCCATTAATGCATCAAAGTTTAAAAAACGACTGGAGAATATGAATTTGCATGCAAGTTGCATATTATCAAGATTGATGCACCATGTGCATCCAAACTGATTCGATGCATTAAACCTACGGAACTTCTTGATTTTACATGATTAGTTTTAGAATTATGAACAAATCAAATATTATAGAAATCAATATTTTTGGCATTTTTGAGAATGCTATTGCACACTCCATCAAAAGGGCATGGCTAAATAATGTTTATTGTAAACATAATTTAACGTCAAATTTCACTGTTTGCTTTAGCGTAGTTTTAATACGCAAAAATGAAAAGGTTTATGAAAAATCAAAGTTTGACGCAGATCGTTCAAGAAATTCTAGAGTTCAGATCGGACGCACAAACATCAAACATTTAAACAGAGCAATATACTTAAAATATATATATATAGATAATACCAATAACGTTATTGAACCGTGCTTTATAAAATAAAAAGAATAAATGCAAAAAACTAAGAAGGTAAAACTTTGCAGCATATTCCCAAAGTTCTGGCCTCTGTTAAAAGCATTTTATTACGATAAATTAATTCAAAGTTTCACGGAAACAAATTCAAAACTCTCATTTATTTGTTTTTCCCGGAAAATTGAATCATAATGTGAAAAAACTAAAATTGAAAAGTTTTAATTAAAATCTGTTTGATATTTTCAAATGAAACTAAAAATTACAATTTTACCCTTGACACTGAGATGGATTCGATGAGAAAGATGAGGAGTGCTGGATACTTGACATTCATAGATACCAGAGTCAGTAGGTTCCAGAGATCTATAAATATAATCATTTTTTCAGATTTGACATCGTTCTCATAAGGAAATTGTTGGTAGTTACTTCCAGGAAAAAAGGTTTGTTCCAGGGACCTAACTTGGAAAAAAGGTTAGTTCCAGGAACCAAATCTTGGAAAATAGGTTTGTTCCAGGGACCTAAATTTAAAAAATAAGTTTAGTTCAAGGGACCAAAACTGGCAAAAATATATTCAAGGGACTTAAACTTAAACTTTAAAAAGAGTAGCATGAACCGATTTTAACTTAAACAAAATAGAGGTTAGTCAAAGTGGACCATAACTTAACAAAAGGTTAGTTCAAAGAACCATAACTTAACAAAAGGTTAGTTCAAAGAACCATAACTTAACAAAAGGTTAGTTCAAAGGACCATAACTTAACAAAAGGTTAGTTCAAAGGACCATAACTTAACAAAAGGTTAGTTCAAAGGACCATAACTGAAAAAAAGGTTTGTTCAAACGGACCAATAAAACTCTACGTGTTTAACAGGGACTGCACAACTCGACCAACTGTCCAGGAAGTTCCAGGGACCGAACTCAAAATTTAAGACTGGACAGTTTCAAGATCCAAACCTATAATGACAGGCAAACTGGGTTTAAGGACCTGACCCAATTATTAAACTGTTTAATTGAAGAATGGATGTAAAGGAGAAGTTTAATGGAAGAATGGATTCTGAAGGAGAATTTTAATGGAAGAATGGATTGTGAAGGAGAAGTTTAATGGAAGAATGGATTGTGAAGGAGCAGTTTAATGGAAGAATGGATTCGGAAGGAGAAGTTTAATGGAAGAATGGATTGTGAAGAAAAACTTTAATGGAAGAACAGATTGTGAAAAAAATAACTGTTCTATCTTCAAAATATTTGATCAACTATTCATTAAATTATGAGAGATGTTAGAGTAGATGCATAAAGCTAGGAGTCTGGTATATTAATAAACGAAGAGATGTTGATATCAAAACTATTAAATTTGATACCTAGATATTTGATCAAGGATATAAGTATACTTTGATATCAAATTTCTTTTTAATTACAGTTATTTGTTAAGCCTGGTCAACTTCTTTCCTTTTCTAAAAATATCTAGATTAGAAAAATAATTGCTTATATTTGTTGAAATTAATTCATTTTTCCTGGTAATTAAGCACCAATAATAATAATAATAATATATTTTGGACAAACTATAGTATTACATCTAGAAATATGTGCAATTGGAATAAAACTTTTATCACATGAGTTTTGCTAGTTATTTTTTTAAATGTCTGCATAGACCAAAAAATTGAGATTTAGCCCAAATATTTATATTTTAGCCCATTTCTATCAACAGGAAATAACATAGAAATTATCAAAACTTTAAAGATAGAAAAACGGCAATATCTTTCACATTATTGATGAAATAAAGGTTTCACGGGCACCGTTGTGAATCGGGCATTGACATCTCTGCATGGAGGTTCCCATGTAATAGAGCTTAAAACGTACAGTCCCTTTAAGACTGATTTACAACTATTGTTTTACTCTTTAAACTCTATCTTTATAAATACTCTGAAGGCTTAGAACCTAGACCACAAGATTTATAGTTAGATCCTCACTCCTCCTTCTCTAACCATATATTTGAACCAATATAATGTTGGTTGGTTTCCTTCTTTTTTTTACACCCAGTGATATAAAATACAGAGCTGGGAAATTTAGAATGGATAACCTTTAATCCCAACTACTTAATCCGAAACTTTTAATTTTAGTTCTTAATCCACTCTTTTCTCTCTCTTCGGATATCCGTGCATTACTTTTCTCCAATAAGAGTGCAGGAATATAGTTTGTAAATTGTATTGACTAATGACAGCCTGTAAAATAGATTCTTTCCCATGAGAGAAATCCGCAATTTATAACAAATAAAGTTTTGTCGTCGGCCATTTTGTAAATTAATCGACGAAGAAAAATATTCAATAATACGATTGAGATTCTTTTTTTAACCAATTTTAACTAATATATAAATAAAAAATGGGTGAGAAGGCCCCTTCAGTCAAGAAAACGAACAAATCTGGCGTTCCTAGAATCAAATTTGTTGATCTAGATATTTGATCTCGAGATTATGTTAGTCTCGAGATTAGCAAAAAGAGAGGATTAAGCGTTAATCCTGATATCCATCATTCTAAAGTTCCTAGCTCAGGTTTTACTAAATGTTTTGGATTTACAACAGAAATATTTACAATGCTTTATGTCATGCTCAGAATAATATAAGATTTAACCAATAATTTTACATTCATGATCTGTCTTGTATTCTGTATCCTGTATTCTGTATCCTGTATCCTGTATCCTGTATCCTGTATCCTGTATCCTGTATCCTGTATCCTGTATCCTGTATCCTGTATCCTGTATCCTGTATCCTGTAACTGGAAGTTATTTATGCGTTTTATTAGAGTCTGACTCACGTCCTCTATAATATATTCATTTCTTCCTACATTTCTACAGATAAAAGATAGGTAAAGGAATCATTCTACCTATTTCTACATATTTCTACCTATTTCTAACTATTTCTACCTATTTCTACCTATTTATACATATTTCTTCATATTTCTACCTATTTCTACATATTTCAAACTATTTTTACCTATTTCTACCTATTTTAACCTATTTAATGTACCTATTTCTACCTATTTCAACCTATTTATACCTATTTCTACATATTTCAAATTTTTTTTACCTATTTCTACCTATTTTAACCTATTTCTACCTATTTCTACCTTTTTCTATTTTTTTCTACCTATTTCAACCTATTTCTACATATTTCTACATATTTCAACCTATTTATATCTATTTCTACCTATTTCAACCTATTTTTACCTATTCATACCTATTTCTGCATATTTCAACCTATTTATACCTATTTCTACCTATTTTTACCTATTTAAACCTATTTCTACCTATTTCAACCTATTTATACCTATTTCTACATATTTCAACCTATTTATACCTATTTCTACCTATTTCAACCTATTTCTACCTATTTATACCTATTTTTACCTATTTCTACCTATTTCTACATATTTCAACCTATTTATACCTATTTCTACCTATTTTTACCTATTTCTACTTATTTAAACCTATTTCTACCTATTTCTACCTATTTCAACCTATTTATACCTATTTCTAACTTTAAATAACAGATACTTAGAAAATTTATATTCCTACCTTCCTACAGATAAAAGATATATATTCCTACCTTCCTACAGATAGAAGATATATATTTCTACCTTCCTAAAGATAGAAGATATATATTCCTACCTTCTTACAGATAGTAGATATATATTCCTACCTTCTTACAGGTAGAAGTTGTATTTTCCTACCGTCCAACAGATAGAAGATATATATTCTTACCGTCCTACAGATAGAAGATATATATTCCTACCTTCCTACAGATAGAAGATATATATGCCTACTTTCCTACAGATGAAAGATATATATTCCCACCGTCCTACAGATAGAAGAAATAAATTCTTACCATCCTACAGATAGAAGATATATATTCCTACCTTCCTACAGATAGAAGATATATATTCCTACCTTCCTACAGATAGAAGATATATATATGCCTACCTTCCTACAGATAGAAGATATATATGTCTACCTTCCTACAGATAGAAGATATATATGCCTACCTTCCTACAGATAGAAGATATATATTTTCCTACCTTCCTACAGATAGAAGATATATATGCCTACCTTCCTACAGATAGAAGATATATATTCCTACCTTCCTACAGATAGAAAATATATATGTCTACCATCCTACAGATAGAAGATTTATATAACTACCTTCCTACAGATAGAAGATATATATTCCTACCTTCCTACAGATAGAAGATATATATGCCTACCTTCCTACAGACAGAAGATATATATTCCTACCGTCCTACAGATAGAAGATATATATTCCTACCTTCCTACAGATAGAAGATATATATATGCCTACCTTCCTACAGATAGAAGATGAATGCCCCCGTGTTTAATCCAGGAAACTGTCATGTTTCCCAACTGATGAATCCTTTAAAATATATTTTAACTTAATATTTGAAATCCCAAAATATGTTTATTGGTTAATGTTCAGTTTGGATAATGGATAATGATTTATGAATTATAAATTGTACATGAGTTTCTAAGTCAAACTAAGATCTCTGGCTAGAATTTGTTGTTTGTTACACAATCACTTTTCTAAATTTAATAAATGCACAAACAGGCGAAAAATAAAATAAGTTTGTTTTGAGAAAGGAACTGAGTTTTTGCCACAAACTCAAATTTTCTAATCCCTACATATTTGCAAAATGATGATGTTATCCTTTGATAGTTCAGTCTTATATTATACAAGCTTAAGTGCCCGGTGTTGCAGATGGAATTTGAAAAATCTTATTTTGAAAAAAAATGTTTTTAAAAAATATTTCGAATTTTTTAGCCTATGTTACCCCCAGGGTACTCATTAGTTCCTAAGCAAATTTCAGCCAAGTTTATCCAGGTGTTTGGCCAGATATAGCTGATATAAATATCTATATATATATATAT